CGCATCACTGATCACGGTGCCTTGCGACGGCACCAGGTCGGGGCGCACATTCTGCAGCATCATTCTCATCGATGAATAGTCGATGGTGAGCGGTACCTGGAGGTAGGCGCGGCCGGCAAAAATGACCAGTCCTACACGGTCGTTCTTCATCTTGTCCAGCATCCGTTCGATCAGTTGCTTGGACCTGGTTAGGCGGTCGGGCTGTATGTCTTTGGCCAGCATGCTTTTTGATACATCCAGTGCTATGATCACATCCACCCCTTTGCGTTCCACCTGCTCTGCCTTACCCCCCGACTGGAGGTTTGCCCAGCCGATAATGCCGGTAGCCAGTGCCAGGGTAAGGAGGATAAACTTCAGGGTGCGGCGGCCGGGTATCAGGCCAATCATCTGCTCTTTAACCAGGTGCTCATCACCCAGTTTCTTTAGTTTCTGCCGCCGCCATACGAGCAGCAGTAGGTACAGGAGCACCACAACCGGTATGATGGCCAGTGCCAGGAGATAATTGCTATGTTGAAAACGTAACATGAGTGAGTGCAAATGTAATGTGTACCGTTGCTGTTTTAAAAGTAGTGGTTTTGATTTTGAGATTTTTTAACACGCGTTCCTGATAGGAGCGCACTCCTATTTTTCATTTACTTTGTGCCATGTCTGAAAAGCAAAATTTTCTACGCAATGAATTTACAAGATTGCTGGCAACTATTGATCCTGCCATATTACCATTGTGGGGAAAGATGAATGCGCAGCAGATGGTGGAGCATATGGCTGATTCGTTCCGGATAGCCAATGGGAAAGATCCCAAAGACTGTGTGACACCGCCGGAACATATCGAAAAGATGCAGGCTTTCTTAATGAGCGACAAACCTTTCCGGGAGAATACAAAGAATCCGCAAATGGCTGATGAGCCGGCGGATGTCCGCTATGAAGATATTAGGGACAGCCTGGGTGAGCTGCGGGGAGAGATCGATGATTTCTTCGATGTCTTTGAACAGGACAAGCACAAGATCATTACCAATCCTTTTTATGGAGATCTTGATTTTGATAAGTGGGTGCTGTTGCTGTACAAACACTCGCTGCATCACCTGCGGCAGTTTGGGGTTGCGGTGGTGTGATCGGCGTTCTCTTTCCCCGGGTTCAAACCCGGGGTTAATGCTGCCGTCTGGCTTGCGGCTGAAGCCGCTGCTGTGTTGTTATGGTTGCTTTTTGCTTGGTAGCATTTAGCTAC